AGCATCACAAAATGCATCTAAGAAGTTGCAACTTCTTCCATGAGGACAACTAATATTTCTCTTGAAATAGCAAATATTAACTTATACCTTTAAATATTTTTGAACTCTTAGCCTACCTACTGTGTGGCTCCGTATAGCTCATTACTCTCTGGAATTCTCCTTTTCATATTTATTTCTCGGCTTCCTTATTGCCTGTTCCTCCAAGGAGACTACAAGCCCCAGGAGAGCAGGCAATCAGTGAGTGTGTCCAATATCTCCTAGGAATAGCAAGTTCAATGGTTTTTCTCTCCTTGTCCAATGAGTTCTGGTCTTCATTCACAGAACACAGAGGGTGGTAGAATAGAGCAGGGGTCTGGTGGTGGCAGGACCTGGTAGAGTTTGCTTACACTGGGAGATGTTGTACTGCATAAGATGCTGCAAACAGCTGGCAGCTTTCAGTGAAAGAAGAGTTCACCTGAGGCCCAGAAGGTGTCTTACTATAAAATCTTCTTGATGAAAATAACTATAGGAGCAAACTGAGCTTGGAGGAGCCTTGAGCTGGACTGTGGATGACAAATACATGGCTTCTCTCCTTAGGAAGAGTCTACCCAGAGACCCACAAGGACAGTTGGAGTCATTGGTCTGGGTGACGTGTCACCGAGCATCACGGATTCCCAGGACGTTCCTCTCTGTAGAGAGGGTTTCCAGAGTCCACACAGCAAAGACATGAGCAAGGCTGGTGTCCCGTCTACCTGACAAATCACACCCCTGGCAGCCTGCCCCACTGGCCTTTGCACAAAGAAAGCGAGGGACCTCCATGTTGGCTTCCTACGAAGTTTCATCAGGTAGGTGACAATTGAAATTAGCATCAGAACACCTTGATGAAAGGAAGGAAGAAAGACTTGAATCTCTGAATGGAAAATAGATTATTCACTGTCAGGCTGAACAATGGAAGACGACCTAAATAACAGACAGACGGAGCTGTGCCGCACTGACAGCCCTGCAGGGAGCCCGAGCTGCACACTGAACGTCAGCAACCCAGGAAGCAGTACTGAGTGGGCCACGTGACCCGCAGCCCAGGAGAACAAACACGTGGGACCCTTATCCAGAGGGCAGGTCTCACTCCTTTTCTCCTCAAAATCACTCTGCTTTTTCAACCCTCCCGGTTTCATCCTAAGAAGGTTGTAGTTGAAAAATACCTGGGCATGCACATTGGACTACCTGGGACTTCTGCAGTTCTGTGGATGGTTCAAAGGTATCTGCAGCACAGCCAAATTCTGCACAGAGCCAAAGACCAGTTCTCAATGCCTGGCTGACAAAGAGAGAACAAAGCAATGCCCTCTTGGCATCTGAGGGACTTGAGGGCCTAATTTAAAGGAATAGTGTCCTGTGCAAGGATATGTAAGAACATGGGTTTTAAGACAAGAGATGTGAGTTAGAATTCTAGCTCTGGTATTCGAAACACTGTGTGTGTGCCATACACACATGTGCGTGAGGGAGAGAGAGAGAGAGGGGCAGAGGCCAAGAGGAAAGAAAGAGGAGAAAGGACACGTGACCAACTAACCTTGGTTCACCTTGCCTCTTTGAGCTTTAGCTCCATCATTAGAAACACAAAGCGCCACATCCTTCCCTTGGCACCTTGGAGAGCGCATGACGCTAAAGAGGGAGGACTTAGTACAGCTCGACACTTAATGCTGACATTGACTTTCAGTGATGCTGAGTCTGTTCCAGATCAGAGCAACCCGACCCTGTATGGTGTTTCCAAGGAGCAGCTGTTGGGTGTGAACCACCAACCTTGCAGTTAGTATTTCACTGCTTATCCTGCAGTGCCATACCAGGACACTACCTATAATAGATGATGAGTAAATGGTAACTGCCGATATTGCCGTAAGGGGGTGAGACCTTCAATGCTTCAGAGCTGCCGCCTCTATTTCCCTTAACATTTCATCTCAGAGGGTCAGGACAGCCAGAAACCAGGCTCATCATTCCACTACAACCTTCCAGGACAACTCACATTAGATACACAACATTTTGTTTGTTACCAACCATTGGTCGCTGTTGGCCAGTCTGATCCTGACAGTTCTAAATACGGGATACGGGTTGTTTCATCCTATCTCCGGTGCTCTTATAAGATGAGACAATGGCTAAACTGACTGCTGGGCCAGACGACCTGCTTCCCTGTGAGCTCGATGAGCTGCGTACAGTAGTTTCCTCTGCGAAACCCCCTCTCTCAAGGCCCTTGTTTCTTTATTCTGTTGTACCTGCGGCACCAGAAATAACCAGGGGGACCTGCTACTCACGCTCACAGTGGTTCATGTTTTTCTAGCCCTGACTATGTGTCAGTTTTGGGGCAGAGTGGGTTGGGCTGTGGGCCACTTCACTTCATTCACAAAGGCTTTGTTGTTGTTGGTAGGTGCCACTGAGTTGGAACCAACTCATAGCGAACCTATGCACAACAGAACAAAACACTGCCCAATCCTGGGTCAACCTCACAATTGTTGCCATGCTTGAATCCATTGATGATGCCACATGGCCAAAAGAAAGTGGCTAATCGCTACCATCTGGACCTCATCCCCATTCATTGAGGCATGGGCAGGTTAAATAATTTGCCCAGAGATTCAGTGAGAAGGCAGAACTCAAATCCTGAAGGGCTGACTGCAGAACCCAAGCTCTTAACCTCCAGGTTTCCTGGCAGGGGAAAGATGTGTGTGGATGGCATGTGTTCACAGAAGCTGTAAGTGACCAAAATTAATTAAATAAATAAATAAATAAAAGATTGGGAGAGGTGTGCCTTAAGAGTTGTTGTACTTTACCTTGGTGAAGGTCAGACAGTCCTTGTCTTGGTCTTTGTCCTTGATCTCAAAATCATAAAGTGCTTTGCCCTGGGGCGGGGCCTGCGGCAAGGGTCGGAGGCACTGGATGTAGCTGGCGGGGAGGAAGCCCTGATTGCCGCTGAGCTCTCCATGGTACCAGTTTTCGTCCACCTTTCGTCGCAGGATGATGATGTCCCCCTTGTTAAACTTGAGGTCACCAGGTTCTTTCCCCTCATAACTGTAGAGGGCTTTTCCATAGGGAAGCTGGGAGATATTCTGAAAGCAAAAGAAAACACCTGGTCATTTAGCATAACCCTTAGCCTACCCAAGGTTGAATTTGCACCAAAAGGGGCTTTCTGAAGCTTGAAGTCCCTGGGTGGTGCAGGTAGATACTGTGCTCTGATGCTGAGTGAAAAGTTGTAGGTTCGAGTCCACCCAGAGGCAGCTCAGAAGAAAGGTCTGGCAATCTACTGCTGAAAAGTCAGCCACTTAAAATCCTATGGAGCACAGTTCTACTTCTGACACACATGGGGTGACCATAACCTGCAACCGACAACAACTGCTTAGGTTAGGCTCTGTTGCTGTGGGTGCGCACAGAATGTTCTGCCAGTGGGAAACTTTAAAGGGGAATGGGCACGTTGCCCCAGGATCCCACACACTCCACAACTCAGCAGAGACAAGAGGGCCTGTGTGATCCCCCAGACAATCATCTATCCTTAAATAGCACATGTTATTCAAGCCTTTCAGATATACTATCTCACTCTAGATTTCAAAGGTGCTAATAGTATCTTCATTTACAGATGAGGGGACTGAGACACAAAGAAATAAAGAATCTTGCCTAAATCTCACACCTGTAAGAGGTAGAACAACGATGTAGATTGAATTGCATCCCTCTCCAAAAGTATGTCCGAACCCAACCAACCCATACCTGTGAGTGTGACCCTGTTTGGAAATGATTTTCTGACGTCATGCTAAAGAGATCATAATGGAGTTGTTATGTTCCATTGGGAACCTGTATAAGGTTTCTGACTTAAAAGAGAAAATGTACAGAGAAACTCATCTGCACAGAGGAGGTCAAACGTCACGTAACAATGGAGGACGATACAAGACCAAGCACTGCCTGCAGTTACCAGAAGTTGAAAGAGATAAAGAAGGACCCTCCTCTGGACCCCTCACCCAGGGTTCAGACTCCATCTCCTGAACTGTGAGTAAGTACACTTCTGTCCTTTAAATGCACCCACTATGGATAATTCTGTTACGGCCACACCATGTCACTAAGGCAGGCTGATCTGCTCTGGAAAGTTCTTATCCACCACTCCATGTTGAGTTGACTTCTGGTGGATGGGGATTCTCAGTGAATTTATTCTAAACAGCAGCAGGATTTCCAACCACGAAAATCACTTCTCTCTATTCAGAACCCTCGTGCCTCAGAGAGGTTTTCCAGTGGTGGGGACTGACCTGTATTGGTTTGACTGGCCAATCTAACTCAGTAGCTCTCAGGCCCAATGGCACACATCTATGAAGCTGAGGACAATGCAGACAACTTGGCCAAGTGCTTGTCAAAAGATCCCTCACAGGATCTTGGTCCCTAATGCACTCAAACCTCTAAACGTTGTTCTCCGCTACTGCAGACCACGTAACCACAACACACAGAATTTCAATGCAAGCACATAAAAGACTCTCCTCTTTTTAACAACATGGGTTACTTCAGTCATGTTCCCTGGTCAGTCAGCCCACAAAGTAGTCATCTGCCTACTTTAGCCACAAACAGTGACTAGCTCTGAAATCCACACTTGAATTCTGCTTCCCTCCAATAAAAAGTCCACTAAACAACGGACTCTTTACTTGATGTTGTCATCCACCTCCAGGGATTCTCAAATGGGTTCTGTTTCATGAAGACCAGCGGCCACAGGGATTTAGCTTCCTTTTTTTTAAGGGTGGCTAGCACCCACTCATTTGAGTAAGCTTGGCCAAGCCCAATGCTGTACTAGAGAAAAACCAAACAAAATCCTTACCTATTGTCCCTTAGCAACTTTCCATCACGGCTGCCTGTGCTTCAGTATTTCAATCAATCAATAGAGGCACAAAAGCCCGAAGCACTAGGACACTGAAAAATTCTTAATAGAGGACTTAATAACATGTTGGCGACTCAATCATTCTACATTTATGTTTCAGCAATGTCAAACGATAGCAGTTAAGACAGAACCTGCTGACAAATTGACAAACAGCCACCACCAGCCAATTAACAGTAACACCAAAGGATTTTTTTATTGCAGAACTCGATGAGGGAAAAAAAAAAAATCCCTTTACTTCCAATAACACTCATCCTGGAAAGCTTTGTACTGTAAGTACAAAACATTGTAATCGGCTCCAATTTTAGAGAGCCAAGGAAAAAGGTCATTTTGAAATACAAGTACTATGATCAGAAAAGAATGGAAAAGGCTGTTGGCTGTGAGCCACCAGAACAATTTCACAACCATAGAAGGACCGGTCATCCCCTAGACCAGGGATTCTAAACAAGGGCACTTTGTCCCTGCTTCCAGGGGACATTTGGCAACGTCTTAAGGCATTTTTGATGCTCACAACTAGGGGTGGGATGCTGCTGGCATCTGAAGAGTACCTCGATGCATCACACCCTCCACTGCACTGTTGTGGCTGCAAAGGGCTGTCCAAGGAGTACCAGTGGGTTTGAGCTGCTGACTTTGTGGTTGGTAGTCCAGTGCTTACTCTGCAGTGCCACACCAGGAGTCCTGCCACTCGGTACCTCCCAAAGAAGCAGACACAGTGTGTGGACTCTGCTCAAGGAAAAGCCACCTTTCCACAGGCCACAGTGACATGTACGGGCAAGCCACCTTGGGACCCAAGGTCTGACTCAAGGTCAGAGCCCTGATGAAATCAAAACTCTCAGAACTGGGGTCCCAATGTCCAGAAGAACCAGGGTTCCTAGCTCATAATCAGTGTTTTCTGTATGCTAACTGCAAGGTCAGTGGTTCGAGCCCACCATCCACTCCTCAGACACCCTAAAGGGTCGTTATGAGTCAGAATAGACTCAACAGCACTTAACAACAATGCTATGTGATCATTGGTTATGTCCCGTGGAGTCAGTGCCTACACTTAGTTATCCTGCATAGGGTTTCCAAGGTCTATGTCTTTACTGGAGCAGAGAAAACCTCATCTTTCACCCATGGAGTGGCTGGTAGACTTGAATTGCTGACCTTGCAGGTAGTAGCCCAACTCATAACCCACTATGCTACCAGGGCTCCTTACATGATCATTAGTAGAAACTAAACAAGGCTGTTCCTGAGGCAGGGAGAGGGAGTAGGGAAGTTAGAAAAGAAACACAAGCCTGATGCGGCCTGGCAGTCTCCTGCACACCCACCCACCCTACACAAATCCAAACAAAGGTTCCAATCCATGCTCCGCATGAAGGGGCAAAGATCACGAGCTCTGGCAATGAAGGCAGGGCAGAGACGGGCTCAGGGCCGCTGGAAGCAGCAGATGCATTGTATGGACCACGCTCATCCCCGAGTCACCTTTCCTCAGGCAGCACCTGGGCAAAACACCTTGAGACCCAAGGCCACAGCTGACTGTCTGGGGGACAAAGGGCTGGGGTCAAGCAACAAAGATCTAGGCTGGCTAGCTATGGTCTGGTCCAGTGGTCAAATATTGCCAATGCCAGTTAGGGTGTGGAGAGGGGAAGGTGAAGAAAGTAGAGAAAGGAAGAGGGAAGAAGAGAAAAGAGAGAGAAACATTGCTCTAATCCCTTCCCCAAAGTGCCTGGAGTCAGCATGTTAGAGAACGAGAAAGGAGAGAAGGAAACAGGCCACAGTTCTGAGGGCAAACAGAAACTGCTTCTCCTTGTTAGGAAATGGAGAAAAACAGTGATACTATTTCCACAGGCTTTCATCTTCCAAGTCCCTGATAAGTATGAACTAATTAGTCCATGAAGAAGGCCCAGAGCCCGGGGGCCGTTATTACAGGGAGACTTCTGCAAATCTAACACCAGCAGCCTAAAAGATTGCTGACACTCAGCCCCTCCACATGTAAGCCCAAGAAAACTGAGCAGGTTTCTCGGGAACCTGTTTCCGTTCTGACCACAGAAGTGTTCAGTAATCTCCTTTCTCACACTGCGGTTCCCCTTTGGAGGAATTGTACTCAAATATCGTATTTAGCCACCATCCGATGGGCTCAAGACATTAAGGAAAAGGAATGAAACGAAAAGGGGAAAATACATCTGGGAAGCCTGTAGGATAATTAACATCAACTACCACTGCAAGGCATTAATAATAATTAAAACTTATAATGTCAATTTCATGGCTCATTACTCAGATGTCTCACACAAACCTCACTGTGGGCTTAACGTCCTACCCTGTGGAGAGGTGGGTGTTCACGCATGCCCAGTGCACCATCTTCATTGTCTACTGGGATCAAACAAGGTAGTGGGCTCTGACGAATGTGCTTCCTTTATGCCAAACAGCATTCTACACCACATTCACTAGACTCAGAGAGAGGGCAGGCATCAAAGCTGGCATGGAGCACTGTAGAGGCAAAGGCCCAGTGTCCAGGTGGAATGGTGAAATGATGTGGGACCAGGTCTTACGCCTGCGGGCCTCCCTGGAATAGGAGTGAAAAGATGGACACGAACAATTGCTCAAAACCCCGCTCATCGTTTAGATTTCAGGACCCAATCAGGTCAAACGCATCCAGCCTCTTTGTGCCAGTAACTTTATTCATAACACTCGTCACAGCTGTAGGTACATGTCATTTGTGTGACGATATTATCAGTGGGCGTCTTCCCCATAGAGCATGGAGACAGGTACCGGGTCTGCTTTGGTTCACTATTGCACCTTGAATTCTGGGCCCAGACCTGATGTAATTACATCTTCAAATATGTCAGTTGAATAAATGAATATATGGATTAACAAACACATCTGGGTTTAGCGCCTGAGCTCAGGGTTGGGTAGAACTTTCCTTATTTGTTATTTTCCCCAAAGTCTGGGACTCAGGGTCCACCTAGTCAGAAGTCTATTGCTAACAGTGACTGAGTGTCACCAAATGGGAAAATCCCCAGGGATTGCTCAGTGAGGAAGAAGGCGTTACAGCTGGAGGATCAGCCTGGCATCAGAGATGGACAAGCAGCTTCCTCACTTCAATGTCTCTAGTAAGTCCTGGTGTGGCGCTGAGGGTTAATGCGCTGGACTGCAAAGTTGGTTTGAACTGCAAGGTTGGTGGTTCAAGCTCACCAGCCGCTCCTTGGAAACCTT